GGTATCTCCGACAGCGTCGCCTCATAAAAGGTTTCATCACGTGGATTATGTGACTGTGGAATATAGTATCAATGGTATCACGTAGTTCAATCATTAGACAAGAAACGCGTATCAGAATTCACGCTCGATGAATGGGTTCATATTATGAGGTATTATGAGGAATGCAGTGTTGTATCTGGTGTATCACAATTAAATTTGTGGCAGAAGTCAAGCAGAAGGAGAAGCGAGAAGGCGACGCATTGATAAGAAAATGTTAGAAGCAACGGTGAGAATTGTATACCCGTATAACAGATCAAGAAAGAAATGAGAAATATGAACAAACAACGGTTCCTGACACATGAAATAAATGCAGAGTAGTTCTACATTTGTATTTCACACTAATAAGTGGTGCACAACCGAAGGAGGAAATCTCGTAGTCACGAGGATCTAATGTTTATCTACGGGATACCAGCAGCCTAAGCCCCGGGAGCGAAGAACCAAGTGCGGTATTATTAGCGTACTTGTGATATTGAGCCAGAGGACAGCAAACAATGATGCATAATACTGGGAGACTTAAACCGTCTGAAAGCTTGACTCTGATCACAATAGACTAAATTAGATTCACAGAGAGAAGAAAGCGCAGTATACTTAAGAAAAGGGAATGATAAACATCGTGGATGGAATGCATCGAACGTACTGAGAAGAGAAACCAGCTCGTCCAGCGAGCCTGATATGCGAATGGTGACTGTCTGATTTTCGACCTCGCTGTGGAATTGGTTATCTTCCTCACCGTAAACTGACGGACCAAAACCAGGATACTGAAAATTTTGGCGAAGGTGGGCGATTACTAACGAACAATACTGCAATCATCGAAAATATTCGTGGTCCGTCAGAAAGGTTCGATAACAAATAGAGGAAGTAAATATCAACAATTCTCATATTTGATAAGAACGAATACATTTTGCTAGAATGGTAACATCAAGTTCAATGAAGGTCACAAACTGCTACAACAAACTAGAGACCAAATATTGCCTCCTACGAGGAAAATGAAAAAAAATTAAAATACTAACCAATTTTTTAAGATCAAAGCGAACGACTTCCTGAATAAGTACATCAGCCAGGGTCTTTACATCCATACTAAATCGTGAGTTTGCTTCGGCACCAAGCTTCTGTTGCACCAAGGATTGGAATCCACCGTACTCGAGCTTTACAAGACGGGCAATAGTTGCTGCCTTCTCACTGCATAGTACCAGTGCTTCCAGGAAGCTCAATAGGCTGGGGCAAGAATCACTGGATGAAGACATTTTTTGATACAGACTGAAGTGGAAGGAAAAATTGCACCTTAATTGTAATAACAATAAAAACATTAGTAATAAAAACGTCGTAAAATATTCCCTTCATTGCATAAGAACAAGGTGGAACCATGAAGAATTACTGCGACGTATCGCTTTGAGGTGCGATTGTTCAGCGGAATAAGTTAGTTTTTGAGGAATATGCATAATGTTTGGGTGGCAACGCTTACCTCGGGGAAGACCACTATCCAACACTCATCGTGCTTTTTTAAAAGCATTTGCATTACTGCCGCTTACCACTGATGGCAGCAACGGGTTTCCCGACGAAATCACCCTGTTAGAGAAAAAGATTGTTCTTAATTGCAGCCTGGAATGGTCAATGCAGATGTAGGTCTCCTCTGACATAATACATTGTATATCGCTTTTCTGATTCATATCTCCTCTCCCTTTTTCAGCTTCTGTTATACCTGTACGCCTTTCGTCAGGAAGAACACAAATCACTAAACTGGAACGGGCTGACCGTAATTGACATGACTTACAGGGTCAATGGGTGAAATGCAGATCAATAATCGCTAGGCCTGTAGTGACCATGATTGTACGAAGAAAAGGAGCGATCCACGAGAACTTTTTCCGTTCATATTTTCTTCACAATCA